TATCATTTTGTTCTTGTATTTTCTTCCAAAATTCTTGTAAGGTTTTTTCTGTGTTTTCTTTGGTCTGTCTCTCAATCCTTTGAAGACACCTAAATATAATTCTTTTGAATTCCTTATCAGAGAGTTCCAATGCTGTTTCTTCATCAGGGATATGTTCTGAGTCTATACCCTGCTCCCTTGTTCTACCACTTTATCCTGCTTCTTTGTGTGGACAGTGATGGTCTGTTGTCTCCGAGGCATCGTGGCGTTGTTGTATATAAATCTCTGTTAACTGTTTGTGAAGAGCAGCCAAGGGTGATTCAGGCTCTTCTTGGTGGTTTTTTATCATTGGCCCGTTGGTGGAGAAGGAGGTAGTGGCTCTCACTCAATAAGTGAAGTTGCAGGAGGTGTGGGTGTAGTTGTGTCTTATGGGGACTGTTGTTGTCTCCCACTCAGTTAGGCACAAATTACAATTGAGTAACCATAAAAAAAAACTAAATGCACATGGACAAAAAACACACCATGTATTCACACAGGAACAATACCCAAAAAAAGAAAAAAGGGAAAAAGAAGAAGAAGAAACAAAAACACCTGCAATATCTGGGGATAGGGCACTAAAAGAAAAAAGGTAGAGAAGGAAAATAATGAAGGAAAAAATGGGAAAAATGCAAAAAGAAAAACAAGGAATGGGGTTAACCATGAGAAAAAAGGGGAAAAAAGGAAAAAAAATTAAATTAAAAAAAAAAAAAAATTCAACTAGGAACAGGGAAAAGAAAAAATGCTGAAAACTAGGACTTGGGAGGGGAAGAATATGATTAATAGTAAAAGGGAGAAAAGCATTAATAATGAAACAGACAAATAAAAGCAAACTAATCACCTGAAAAAAGAAAACAAAAAAGAAAAAAAAAAATCAATGGAGGATAGGGCGGGGCACCCAGGCTCCGTCTGAGCACACAGACTGTGATGGAGTTCCTGTGGGCCCACAAGGTGGGTGGGAGTGGGGGATGGCCACACTTCTGTTCACCAAGCGGGTGTGGGGTATAAGAGTAACAAGAGGAATGTCGCACTTTTTTAGTCTTGCAGGTTTGGAGTGTCCTTGGGGTTGCTGGAAAGCTGAACCTCTTCTTAAGGCCCTGGAATCTCGGAGAGTGGAGAG